AGCAAGGAGTGACTGAGACAGTTTTAATCAAGTCAGTTCAGGTAGCAATTAGTAGCAGGTGGTGTGCCAGGCCACCTGTTAATGTCAAGGTCCTAAAGTCACAGGAGAACATAGCACCCAAATTTAATGTGTGGCCATAATGTCATTGCTGGAAGCTGACTGCTGCTGTGCTCCTTAAAGAGCTAAGGGAGATTATGGATATGGAAGTTTTCAGGCAGTCCAGAAGTGACCGAACAAGTTCATGTAATCTCTCAAGGGGTGCACTTCTGCTGGCTCAGGATGTCTCTGAAGCACCAGAGGCAGGCCAGTGTGATGCCATGCTGGCCATATACTATTCCTGGCTGACCCTCAGCCAGCACCCGCAGGGGACAGGACTGAAAGTTAGAAAAGACCTTTGGACTGACCCAGCAAAGGTCTTTTCTTGTGGTATGCTTCTCCTAGAGGCAGACTGTTTCTGAGGAAGACAGCAGCTCTTGGCTTTGCAATCTGAGTGTGGTTTGCTGTGAGTGGAAGCAGCACCCTGCTTTTGCCCTCTCCCTCTGTCATCTCATCCAAGTCCCACCATTCTTCTTGCTACATCTTTTCCTACACTCTTCACAGGAGTAGGAGTAGTATTTGAGCCATCTCACACACACACGCGCACACACAAAAGCTGTACAGCTATACCAGGAAAATTATGGTATAGTAGCATACATACCTATCCTCTCTAGTGAAACCTGGGCTAGCCAAGCTTGCAGTCCTCTGCACATGAGAGCATGCAGCAATTCTACTTCATGCTGCATAGAAGAGTTTGCCTCAGGAGTGAGGCACCAGGTGAAATCACTGAAGTCCCATGCTTAAGGGCCTCACCACCCCTTCTGCATCCCCACTCAAAAGTACATAGAAGTTTTCCCAGAAGTGTCAGGAAAAGAGTCCTGGAGCCTCTCTGTGCAGGGCTAGTATACAGGGCCATTACACGCATGCAGGTGAGTAGGAGCACCAAGGTCAGTGGCGTGGCTCTGTTTTTCCCATGGTTAAATTTAAGGATGCAGCTAGGGTTACCTGGTCTTGAGGAGGGAAGTGGGATGGGGGCTCCACATGGTCCTCTTCAGCCCTCAGAGAACTATAGCTTTCTAAATCTTGGCCAAGGCTATTCTGTGGTGTACACCAGTGCAGATCACCCAGGGTGAACATGTGGCACGGATAAACCCTTGGAAACATAGGGCACAGCATCCTGTGAGGTTGTTGCAGCATGATGAGACACTGTAGGGCTCCACCTGCATCTGCACCAGGTATCGAAATGTCTCACATTTGAAGCAGGGAAGAGCAGTGCAGTCATTTTGCCCTTGCTGATTTTCAGTCTGCTCCTTCTTGATTTGCTTAATGGAATCTGACTCGGTCAGCATTTAGGGTCTTGGGTCCCCTGGGAGTTTATCTGTGAAAAGCTGCTAGATATTCATATTCACTCATAATCATCATCATCAGAAACTCAATTTCCTTCCCCGTCTGTGGTGGAAGAACACTCCCTTGAAAGCTGTTGCGTGGTCAGGGACTTGGCAGGGCTTCCCAATTGCGGCCGGGCAGCGATTAGCCCGGGATATTGCAGCAAATGCCCAGGCCACAGGCTCAAGGTTACCGAAGCGGGAGAGCGCAGGGACAGCCCCGAAGCCCCCGGTGCGGGCAGAGATGTAGCAGGGGGGCGCAGGCGGGCCGAGCGAGGGCTTTTTTGGGGGGGTCTCAGCGGGAGGCACCGGCGGGCGGCCCCGGCGGCGGCCGCCAGGGGGAGCCGGAGACCGCGTTCCGGGGCGCGGCGGGCTGCGGGCGGGGCTGCGGGCGGGCGGTGCGGCCTTCGCAGGCGGGGGGCCGTGGGGTGGGCATGGCTGCGTGTGCCTGGCCAGCCGTGCGGGAGGGTAGCGTGCGGGTGCGGGGCATGGGGGTGAGCGCTCATCTGTGCGTGTTGGGCAGCGCGGTGATCGCTGCCGGGGCTGGACGTTCGCCCGTGGCCGTGTGGGTGCCGTGGTGCCCGCGGCAGAGGGGGACGCGCCCCACAGCAGGAGAGACAAAAGAGAAGTCACCACGCAAACGTGGGCTGTCAAAGCCCAAGTTCTGTCTGGGAAGGAATGGCGAAAGTGATAGAGTGAATTGAAAATGGGAGCTATTTTCTGCACAAAATCTCACTCGAAATTAATATTTCATTTTATTCTTACATTTTCGCTCTTTATTACACTTGAGCAATTAGTGCCCCCCAAAAGCCTTCGAGAATTTTATTTTGTGATCGAACTATAACCTTTCCCCATTTTTGCAGTACATGTGACAGTAAATGTATCATCCATGGCATGTACTTAAAGCAGTTCTGCTGTAAAACCCAGAGATCACACGTGGCCCCCGGGGTTACATGCAGGGACCACACTGGATGCCAGGCCTCACAGTCAGCATAAAACTCTGCCCGACGCCTGCACAGGTACACACAGTCCCTTGGTGTGGACAGCTGCTGGTATTAGCATGAAGTGAGGTGCAGAAGATGATCAGGACTGCACCTAAGAGGTGTCTGTAGCAGCCCCACCACCTCACTGGCACTCACAGGAGCTTAGTGGGGAAACATGACGCTGTGTAACTCGCACCATTTTTTATCTGTGGAGATGGGAGTTTTGGCTTGTCAGATACCCTCAAGCTTATACACACAAGCTCTAGCAGAACAGAAGTGGCCTGACATTCTCCCAAGTCCTTCATCACACCATGTTTCCTTGGGTGTCCTTTCTTATACCTACGTGTTGCAGAAGGACATCTCTTTACCATACCATGCCACACCATGCCATGCCTCTGGCCCCCACCAAGCTCACAAACCCCGAGCTATGCACTTATATGTATCAAGGCAGCAGTACCCAGCCAAGGCCAAACATCCCTCTGCCTCCGCTGTGCTGGATGTGAGTTGCAAGCCACCATCGGTGCATATGCCTTTGCTCTGATTCTATGGGTCCCCTGGAAAAGTGACAAGGAGGAGGATTGCTGCCATGTGTGTATGTGTTACATAAATGTCAATGTATGTGTTCAAACAAATACTATTTAAAACAAATAGTATTTAAGACAAATAGTAAAAATGTGATGGCAGAAGATTTTGTGTGGGCAACACAGACTGCCTGGTGTGTTCTTGATTATCTGATGGGCCAGAGGAGTCACGTTTTGGAACTGACAATAAGGGATGCAAATGGTCCCAAACAGCCTCCCTACAATTATTTGACAGTGAAAGATGCTTTCTCTGAAACATAGGTCAGGTAAGGGTAGTAGCTGAGTTTAAACGTGTTCCTGATCTCAGAGCGGGAAATAAATTCCTGTCACCCAAAAAAGCAGTAAAAAACCAGTATTGTAGGATTTGTGTGACAAGCCACAAAAGACATGCATGGACTAGCAGAAAAAAGAAGCCATAGACAGAATATAAATTTTCCACACAGTCCAGCACATACTTTCTTAATAATGAAAGAATAGAATTGGGGCACAAACAGCTAATCTAGTAAGTAACAGCCTACATTAGGAAGAAATCAGACAAATGAAAGTGCTGAAGAATTTCAGAGGCTCTGAAGATATCCTTCTTCGATTTGCTGCCTTTCAGTCACCAGCTCAAGTTTAATAGTGACCGTGCTGCTGAGCATGCCTGTGGCACCCGTGCACCACACAGTAGAGTGAGGGTCTTCGCCTGATAAACTCTGCAGGTTGTGAGAGGGGAAGTTGCACTTTGGTCTCACAGGGCTCTCCTCAACAGGGCCTTTTTTTTTTTTCTGGCACCCCTTAGATATCAGAATTTGCTTCTCATGGTAGTAAGCATGACTTCTGTCTTCTACAGCACAATCAGTTCCAACACAAGAACTCATCTCCATCTCCACACTTCAGCATTTTCCTGCACCTCTTCTGTGTAAAACACTGCACATACACACATATGTGTGTTTGTATACACTTATATGTATATGTGTACATGTACACAGGCATGTACATATACATGTGTGTGCGTGCATGTGTACATATACATATAAAAAAAAGTACATATATGTGTAGCCATATGTGCACATATGCATGGTGGGCATGCATTTACAGAACCACAGCCACGTACATCTCCCTGCCTATTATAAAGAAAAGACTGCCAGAGACTGGTGTTGCAGGGTGAATTTAAAACAGTATCACTGCCGCTAAAGCCATCCAGAAAAAGGGACTCATAAATGAGTGGATGAATGAGGAGATGTCAGGAGTGTTAGCGCTTAATATTCCTGGAGTGAGGCTGCATTATTTGTTGCTGCAGCAGCATGCTCCTCCCTGCCTGCTCTGACAGAGCCTGTGGATGCACCCTTGTGAAAAATCAACCTCCCTGGCATACCCTGCACCCTCACCCCATAGGTGTCACGTCACAGGGCCATAAACACAGTAGCGAAGCCTGCCTTCTCTCCGATTCAGAAACACTTAATTGCAGTGCAGCCTGTATGAGGGAGGGGAGACGTCCGCGTGTTGGCCCCATGTTTTATTGATCAGACCGCTGTGATGAATCAGCTCCTGCGGAGCTGGTGTCTCGCTGCAGACAGGCACTGGCCACTGCACACAATTATAAGTCCTGGCACCTCAGGGCCACCACTGGGAAGGTGGCAGAGCGGGCAGCTGTGGAGCTGGTGACTAGGGGCTGTGTCTGCAAAGGTGTGAACCGTGTTCTCATGTTGGAAGGCCAGTAGTTCCCAGCTGGAGGCACAGCAAAGGATGGGATGTGGTTAGCGGCCGGGATTGAGCCTTCCTGCTTGCTCCAGCCTGAGTGTTGTTTAGGGAAAACCACATGCCACTGGAGTGTTGGACAGAGGGAAGGAGCATGCTGAGCAGCTGCCAGGCAGCAGCCTGCACCTGGGCTGGAGGGAGCTCACTGAAGTGGGAAGGCGGCTGTGCCCTGCAGCCCCAGCCCGGGAGTGAAGTGTTGTGTTCCTGTGTTATCCCTATCTTACCCAGCCATGTGTAATCTTGTCTTCTTTTCTCTCCCTTCTCACTCCCTGCAGGACCCGGCACAGGGAGAGTAGACAACGGCTCCATGAGTTTGGCCGTCCCACTGTGGCTGCTGGCAGCGTCCCTGCTCTGCCTACTCAGCAAATGTTAATACAAATCAGAATTAAAAATAATAATATTAATAATAATTAAAAAAACAACACGACAACGACAACAACACACAAAACAAAATGCGTTATACAGGAGACAGAGCGAAGAGAGGGGAGAGAGAAAAAAGGGGGGGGGAGAGAGAGAGACGACTGTTTCTTTCACAACTTTTGTGTGTTCAGGAGCGAAGAGGGGGGAGAGGAAAAATTACAGCAAAGAAGACTCAGCAACATTTAATCCAAAACCTGAAAAGCCGGCTGTCAAGTCACTGACTGTCTAGGAGGCAACACGAACCGAGGGAGAGAATGGGGCACCAGCAAGGATCGCGTCGCCGGAGGATGCTGCAATGTAAACAATCCAACAAAACCCATAAAGCCAATCAAACAGAAGATCCCTTTTCTTTTCTCTCCTCCTTCCTCTTTTCCATACTTCCTCACCTTCCTTCCTTCCTTCCTCCTCTTTCTTTCTTTTGCAGAAAGAGGTCTTTGCTTCGGTGTCTATAGCCATTTAACTTTTTGGATGCCCTGGGTCATTTTTGTGAGCTAATGCTCAGCCAGTTCATACTTTTGAAAACAAAGAAAAAAAAAAAAGCCACAAACCAGAGCAAGTCACCTGAAGCTCTCTGCACACTGGTGTCCTGTGAAGAACTCTTCCTCTCTTCACTTCACCCTGCGCTCATGTGCACCCAGCCCTTGCTAAACACCTTTTTTCCTGTCCCTTCCTTCATGCAACATCACCCTTGCTGGCCTAAACTAAAGCTGTGTCAACTCTACTGAAAGCCTACTTTTCTTTTTTTTTTTTAAATCCTCTTCCTCTCCCCCCTCAATTCAACCAGGTGTCTTTCTCTTTCTCCTGTGTATGCCTGTGTGCGTGCGTGCGTGCATGTGTGGCTCTCGCTCCGTCTTCACTCTTTCTCTCTTTCTCTTCCTCTCTCTAAGCATGCAAAATGAACAGTCCATGTGTACATATGCTCATCCTGCTGTAGATAATGTCCTGCCTTGTAAGTGTGAGACAAGATGCAGAGAGATCACTCAGGCAGAGAAGAGGGGTGAGGAGAGAGGGGCAGTTGCAACACAGATTCCAGTGGTGTCCTCTCTCCAGCATCCTCACTGGCTTTTTAACTTCTGGCCACCTTGCTTGCAAGAGTCAGTCTGCACCCTTGTCTACCCTTTTTTTCTCTCCCACCTGCAACCTGTCTGGCTCTCAGCCTCTAAGTACCAGCATAGCAGCCCCTGCTATGCATGAGTGCTCGCACACATGCATGGGGGTGTGCACTCATGTGCAATTGTCCAAACGAGCAGAAGAAACCAGGACTGGCCTACAGCACTATGGACTGAAGAGTGCAACCACCCATTCCTCCTGGGAATGGGAGGCTGAGCTGGTGGGATGTGAGTGATGAGACCTTGGACATCACCAAGCAGCCATTCCTTTTAGGTATAGTGTGTGCATAGAAGCAATGCCTCAACATGAAAACAGCAATCTGGTCATTCCTAACCATTTTGGTAGTCATGCAAAAATAGAGCCAATACTCTTTTTTGTTGTTTTGTTGTTTTCATTCTTACTGTCCTCCCTGGTATAAAAGGAAATGTAGGCTGTGTGAGAGGGTGAGTGTGCGTGTGCATGTTTGTGTGCTGTACACCATTGCTACTACAAAACTCACTGCAAATTCCACATTTGAAACAAATTGGGTCAGAAAATGTCCAAGACCTGTGAATAGAAGAAGTAAAACAAATCTCAGGTCCAAAATCCTGGGCTTATAAAGAAGGAGCTTAAAGTGGTTCAGCAAAGAAGTGGGCAGCACAATTCCCCTTTCTCTTCTCTTTTCTCATCTCAAGGGTGCTGGTCTTGCTGGAGAGTGCTGTTGCTTGCCATCACACTTCCCATGGCAGAACCACATGCAGAAGTGCCAACAGGAGATGCTTTGTGGCTCCCAAGTGAGGAGAAGGAGAGAACAGGCTGTTAGAAACAGGGCTGAGAAAATGCTGAGTGGTGGCTGGAAGTTGCCACCCAGCACAAGGTCTGATGCAGGGGGAGAGGGCAAGACAACAGTCATACTCTCCATTGGCTGCAGTGCATGTGTGTGGGCAGGGGCAGTGGGGAGAAGACTCCTGTGTCTCCTGGCCAGTCACAAGCCCTAGTATCCACCAGCAGCAAAGATGATGAAACACAGTGTTTATCAGGTAGCCACTTGCTTTTCTGGGGAGAGAGATGTGCAGGAAGAACTTGAGTTAGCCCACACAAGTCGAGTGACCATCCCATGACAGTACAGCTCAGCACCACTGAGCTTCCAAGCACAAGCCAGCTTGCTTTTCTGTCTTTGCCCTGCAAGTTGGCACAGTAGCAGCACGTCAGGCAGTCACGCTCACACGCTCTTGAAAGCAAGGGGAAAATTGCTTGGCCTTGCCGCTCTCCAGTGTGCTGGAGAGGATACCCACCGGGTGGTCCCCTGCCAGGAAGGAAAGTGGGAAATTGCTGCCTGCAAGCCTGTCCCCATCTTTGCTTGAGTGGGGCACAGTCTGATAAGGCTTCTCCCTGCTGCTCAGCCTGCTGCTTTCGCCTTGCACTGCGGCACTGCTGACCCTGCCCCCTCGCTGCTGAGCTCAGCTGTTTCAGGCAGCAGCAGGCACGCAATTAAGCAGGCAGTCAAGGGCTCCTCACAGGCAGCCAGAATGAGCGAGGAAATTTATTGAAGACACAAGAGGCTGTGTCTTGGGCGTTACAAGAGTTGCTACAGAGCTACTGTGGGATTGCATGGTGGTAAATTATGCTCCTCCAGGCCCCAAAGCCATACCTGGAGGTGTTTGTGCTTTGGTGCAAGAGGGGAAAGCCGGGCAACTGGTGCTTGAAATCCACTCAAGGCATCCACGGATGGCTCCCCTCTTCCAAGATAGGGCAGTCATTGGTGGGACTTGGGCATCTCCTTTGGAGACTGGTGTGCCTGTGGCGGCCCAGGGAGAAAATGCCCTGTATCCTTCAGAGCATTCAGACATCCCAGTCCTTGTACCTACCCTTAAGGAGCGTCGTGTAATTCGGTGTCTTAGTAACATATCCAGATTTCCTGCTGCCACAGGGCTTCTCTTTCCCCTGGTACAACCACGAGCTGATGCTGTTTCTAGAAGCCAGATCTGGGAACTGCACCCTTTCGAGCACACTGACACAAGGGAAAACACCACATTGCTCATTCTTGGGGCTGTACCTATGCCTGGATTTATTGTTGCAGGCTTGGTGTGAAAGGTGGGCAGCCTACTGTGTCCTGCTGTCACAGGCTGTTCCTAAAGGCTGGGTAGGCCCACTTTAGGTTCTTTGATGTCAGCCTGGTTGGTGTTGTAGCGTCTGTCCCATGCGTTGTCTTCTGCATGTGTTTTTGTCACTGTGGGATCACTCCTAGGCACTGGGATCACACACATCAGAGCCCTATGGTGTGGTGGTGGTCAGAAGTCCTGATACTTCATTGTCTCACACCTGTTTTGGTTTGAAGGAGTTTTGAGGGGATATTTTTTAGATGTCAAGGCACAGAGGCTTATGGTTAAAGGGAAATATATCATTAAAAGAAGGACATCCATTTTTTGAAGCCACCTGCCTGTTAGCTGGGGGAAATGGACACAGCCCCGGTGCTGTGTGTGAGGGATCTGGTCTTTCATGCAGGCCCTTGGCAGATCTTTGCCTCTGTTGCATGGCCGTGAAATAGGGTTAAAATCAATTATTTGCAGACCTGTCTGAGACAAGCCACCAATAACAAGTATGCCTGTTGTCTGCAGCAGTGCTGGGAACCCCGCTCCTGGCAATGTCTGTTCTTAGTAGGGGTGGGAGTGTCGTCGGTAGGCTGGAGCTTGATTTACTCCTAGAATCTAATCCTGTGAGCTGCAGTGTGCATCACAGGATGCTGTAAACATCCCCTAATTTCTCCTGAACTTGGGCAGTGATTGCTCAAAGCATATGTCAAGTGGTGAGGCTAGATGAATGCAGGAAACACAGGCAAGGTCAAATGCTTTTTTCCCAATCCCTTTCTCCACTCCACCCTCTGACAGAGATGTTGCAAAGGTTTTTCTCATGTCTCAGTCCCTTTTCTCTGAAATTGTTTCTGCTTTTCATCTATTCTCCGCTTTCATGTTGCTATCTTTCCCATTCCCTCCCAAAAAGCTGGGCTCTTACTTCCTGCTGCCTCTCAGCTGGTTGAGGACCAGGAAAGATGGGAGTTTGGAATGGGACACCAGTTCCTTGAGCTTGTCAGTGTAATTGTGTTTGATTGATGGAGATTTAACATTTAGTGTTATAAAAAGAGAAATGAACAAAATGAAAAAAAAAAAGAAAAAATTGTATTTCTTCAACTTGTTTGTAAATATTACAAGAACTAAATGAGATGTCTGGTAATGTCCAAGCAGAGGAACAAAAACTTAGATTTAATATATGGCCCCATACTTGCTAGCAGATTTCTAACCCTTTTCGGATGACTGAGAGGAGGGGTGAAGGCAAGTCTTTCTGAAAGGAACTGGACAGGGGAAATGCAGCCACCCCAAGCCACATGAACTCCATGCATGATTGTAGCATGTTGCTTGGAGCGTGTGCCTGGTCAGATGGAAAACGAAGCAAACGCCTGTCTCTGAACGGCTGGGAAGGGCAACATGGGATGCTCCAGCCGACACCTGTATCTTGGCAGTTGTGTTCATTTTTGTTTGTCTGCAGCCCCGTAGCTTGGGGGCATGTTGCTCAGTGATGCACCCCCCTCCTCTCCCCACTGCTTTCTTCTCCAGTGAAGTTGTGTCGCCCCATGCTAGCACCGAGTGCATGTTAACGTGCCATTCATGAAGATTTCATTGGTGACATGCATTGTGTCAAGAGTTAGTGTTTGTCCGCACATCTTTCTCACGCCACTGACTGTTCACCACTTGGGCAGATCTCTCGTGTAGTGCTGCTTGCCCCACTTTTGGTCAAAGTATATCCAAACCCCACCAGCTCTTCTTAGCTCCAGGTGCATCCAGACCATGCCCCCAGGCCACCTGTCTAAGCAACCCCATTTTGAAAGTCCAAGCACACAGCATGGACAAAGTCACCGTCAATAGCCGCATGGGCTCCAGACTGAGTGGTAGCTACACATCTGGAAGGAATTTGGGGGAGCAGCAGTGAGTCCCAATGATACAAGAGCTTTTGGGGAAGAAGATCTGGGAAGTCAGAGGAGTTATGCTAGAGTCCTTCACAGCCCCACCACCAGGTGATGTTTCAGCTCAATCTTTGTGCAGTGTTTCATCGCTTCACCCTTTCCTGATGAGGGAATCTGCAGGCACAGGGAAAAAGCTCTTCTCCTCCCAACCCCTCTCACACCTCTGCTTCCTCTCCTCCAAGCACACTGACCTGCAGCCCAAATGCTGATGGTGCTTGATGTGACATAGCAAGTGACACAGAGGATGGCTGACCAAGACAGTCCGACAGAGGTGGTGCTAGAGGAGTGAGCAGTTCTCTCTCTCTCTCTCTCTCTCTCTCTCTCTCCTGATGGTGCACAATCTTACTGCTTCTCTGACTCAAGTACACAGAACTTCTTGATTTAGGGATGCCGGGAGCAAACTGTTCTATGGGAAGAGGAAAACTTCAGGCAGAGAAGTGATGGAGAAACTGGATGGTAATTTCCAAGATGTGGTGCCAGTGAAAAAGGGTAGGGATGAGTGCTGTCCGTTGTCCATGCACAGAACTCTCAGGTTCACCAGTGAGGAGACCATGGCCTCTCAACACTAATCTTAGAGTGGCTTCATTTCCAGTGCGATGCCCAGAAGATGGTTTTTTTTGACTGCATGACTCCTGCTGACTAAGAAGCTGTGTCACACCATTAAAACCTCTTTCACTTTTCCTTCTTGTAACATGCTAGAATGATAATTGGGAAACTCCCACAGGCCCCCAAAATTTTGCTTGATGGTTGGCTCCCATTAGGGCAATATATGGTGTTTGGTTGTTGGTTCACTCACCATAACAGGAAAGCAGAACTCATCTTGGTTAGGATATGTTGGTATGGTCCTCTGTACTTCTGTGGCTTGGGTTGATGTGTATGAGGAAGGAGACCTACCAAGGCAGGGCTTGGGAAAGAGGAGCAGATCTGATTAGCCCAGGCAGGTGGGAAGCAAAGCGTCCTTCATTTGCTGCAGGCTCAGGTTAACTGGTGCCACAGCAACTCAGACTGCCCTGCAAGCCTTGTAGAAGTGCCCAGGCAGCAGAGGAGGAAGGGGCAGTGACAGTCAGGAGGACATGACTGCAGTGCAGGTGATAGGGCTGCATAAGCAGCAGGGCTCCTTGGGTAGCATGGCTGAGGAAGGGACAGACACTGCATCCCAGAAGGGCCACTCCCAGGTAGGGTGGGCCCTTCCTTCTCTTCCTATGCTCACAGTGCATCAGAAGCTCCCTCCTGGCCTCGCAGGGCATGCTCACTGTGCTGCAATGGGCCTCACGAGTGATGCAGTGTGACACCACAGTGGCTCCAGCCGTGTCCTGAGAAAAGGCATGTGGATGTTTCTGTACATAACGTAGGACCATGGATGGAGACAAGGAGCAAAGGCTACCTAGGAACCAAGCAGGGAGGGGAGCACCTCCCAGGCAGGGCTGTCCTCCAAAATTATGACATTTGCTCCCCATTCGGCCACGCACAGGCGCGTACGCACACCCCCGCGAGCTCCACCGCGCACATGCTGCAGTAGTCCTCACGGCTACCGTACAGATGCTCTCCTTTCCCACACTCTCCATCACACACACGGCCAGACAGGCACTCATCCACTTGCTCCTGGCCTGGCTCTGTCTGTAACCCACACAGCTACTGGTGACCTCCTGAGGAAACCAGGAGAAAGTGTGTGTGTGTGTGCCTGTGCCTGTGCATATAGGAGCACCTGTGTGTGCCTGGAAAGGGAGGAGGAGGCAAAGAGCGGGAACCTGCCTCCTCAGTGCCACCATCACCTCCCACAGTCATTCAGCTTTCCCAGCTGGAGCCAAGATTCATCCTCTAGACCTTGAGAATGAAGGCCAGTCCCTTCTTCTTGCTACACGGTGGGGTGGTTAGAACTCTCCTCATTAACAGTGTTATATACATATAAATATATATATATATCTATATCTTTATATATATTTTTCCCCAGCACTGTAGACATGAGCTGAACTTCTCTTTAATGAAACGAGAAAATGGCCATTTAATTTTTTGCCATTGGTTTGTTTTTGAAACTAGCTCTGTGAAAGAAAATTTTAAAAGCGCAAGTGTGTGTGTAAAAGAACCGATCAAAAAAACTAAACAACCCAACAAATGAATGAACAAAACCCAGCGATGGAAAAAAAAAAGAAGCTTTTTATTTTTCTTTTCTCAATGTATTTAACTTCTGTTATCTCGTTTCTGTTTCTTTACATGTATGAATGCTCTGCTCTTCTGTGATCTTAAAAAAAAATACAAAAAAATACAAAAATTAAATAAACGTGAAAAGGAGGTACTGTTTCCTGATTTCCCCTCCCTTCCCTGCATATTCTGGCTTTCCTCCTCTCTGATCATCTCTAGTGATGATTTCCCAGCCTACCTGGGGAATGTGGGCCAGGCTGTCCCTTCCTTCACTTTTCTTGGAGGGGCAAGGTGGTACAGGGCTGCAAGAGAGGCAGGGGCCAGTGCCTTGGGACTGAGGGTCCTGGGTCACCCCCAGCAGACTGGCCCCTGCAGTGCAGTGTCTGGGGGTGAAGGGAGCAGGCTGGCTGTGAATAGGTGTGATTTGGGGCTGCCAGGGTGGGGGAGGGAAGGGGAGGTAAGGGAGGGGAGTGGAGGGGAGAAGCCATGGGTGAAAACTGCAGTGCCCAGCCCTGAAGTCAGCACTTGCCTTTGGCTCCTGCAAAAAAAATTTTTTTTTTTAATTAAATAGCATGATTGTATGTGTATGTGCAGATAGAGGCTGGGATCAGGGTTGCAGTCTCAAGAGGGGAAGAACAAGGAAGCTGGTGGAAGGGATGGGCTGAGGCTGAGCTACATAAGCAAGCACAGGACAGGAGCACCAAAATACAGAGCATGATGGCAGAGGTGGTGGAGACAGAGGAGGAGGCCAGTGGGGAAGGAGGGGGGAAATAACTGGCCAAGAAAACAGCAGGACACAGAACTGGAGAGGCAAGATTTTATATCAAAGAGGGAGTGGGGAGACGGGACTGGAGAGGGCCTGGGGCTTGAAATGAGGGCAGCCAGGACAAGGGGAAGAAGGGCAGAAGTCTAGTACCATGGGCACAAGCAGGCATGAAGGGAATAGGTTAGAAGAAAGGGAGTGGGAAGGAAGGGGCAGCAGAGTAACCCAGGCAAGTTTTCAAGGAAACACAGCCAAGGGGATGGAGAAACCAAGAACTGGGATCCAGAAAACCTGTTGAAAGGAGCACCTGGGCTTTTAAAATGTGAGGGTTGGAGAACCCAGGTCTTCTACAGCCAGATAACTCCAATGGTGGTGTCTCTCCAGAATGTAAGTGCCATCTGGCTGTCACAGCCTGGCATCACTGTCCTTGTCCCAGTGGGAGAACCACAGGTGGCACAGGGCAGCAGTGTGACAGGGCTGGGGCAGCCCAAGGGTGGAGCCCAGCAGGTAACAGGGCAGCATGTGTCTGCACCCAACACCAGAGCAGCAGCACAAGGCTGCACGTGGCTGAGCTCAGCTTGGGCAGCAGGAGAGCCTGCATGCAGCTCTGTGAGGGAGGTGGTCTTGTCCTTGCACACTGCTGGAGCATGAGAAACCAGGTCTCCTTATTTCTGGGTCTGCTCTGCCCAGCACCTGTGTGGTACCTTCACTGCCTCTGTGTCTCCTTCCACCTTCTCCACTGTTGCCTATTTCACTGGGGTAAAGACTCGAGACCTACATACAAAAGAGGGGTATGGTCTATGAAAAGTTTTATCTAATTTTGTTTCTAGAACATAAGACACAGGACAATGAAAGCCTTGTTTTCAGTAGAGTACAGACTTGTCTCTTAAATTGCATGAAATTAGATAAAACCTGATCTATCATTGAGCACTAGGGGCAAGCAGGATGGTGAATATGAACGTGACTAGCCCCTACCACACCTTTGCTATTTGAGACGGAAGAGAAGTGATGGATTATAAACCCTCCTCCATCACCATCATTCTTTTCCATGGTGCTGGGAGAGTCAGGGAGCAGAGCATGGAGAAACACTGGCAGAGCTGCTGGGGGGAGTCCCAGGGAGGGGGAGTATCACTGTGTGTATGGATATTAAAGTCCGTACTGAGCTTTGTTGGCTGATTGCTGAGGTGGAAACAGACCAGGTTTGTGATGCTGTACATGAACGACACCAAGCACTGCCAGAGCTCCACCTCGATGTCTGCTCTGAACACACCTGGAAAAGCTGTCCTTGCCTTTTCACCTCCACCACCTCAAAGCTGAGGCTAAAAAGAAGACGGGATAAACCCTGTCAAGCACAACCTCTCTTTTCATTAACATTTTAAATGGTTATTTTTAATGGTACATTTAACTAACACTAACTTATCCATGGGAAGGGAATTTGGCTGTTAACACTGGCATCTGCTTAACAAATCGAAGCTTTGCATTTGGTGAGGCGTGAGCATAACACCAATAGTACTGCTTGCTAACAGCAGACTCATTAACATTAATTCCTGCTTTTACTACCCTGAAGAGCTTTTTGTGTCTGTAACAGCAGTTATTAGATGTACCCCCTTCTTACTGAAAATGGTACATAGGAAATTATTAGCACTAATGCAGACCTACCAGTAAATGAGGATCTAAATTCTTAGCACTTACCATACCTCAGAACTTCCAGAAGAGTAAGGAAAGCGATGAGATGTTCTGAGGACTGTGTTCTTCATCTTTTCTCACTGGAGAACTATGTTCAAACACAACTAAATTGCAATTGGATATTCTTTAGGGGTTACAGTGCTCAAAGGCTAGAGGAAAATATGTGTCCATAAAAATATCTTGCAATTCAGCATAGACTTTCTATCCAAAGCAGGCATTTTCAGAATGGGCAAAGAGCTGGGTTTAGAGAGAGAAACTCTGATGGATAAAACCAGATCAGATTTGCCACAGCTGTGCACTTGTTGGCACTATTAAGGTTGACAGGACTTGTTACTTATGCCCACCAGCAGCTGGAAACACAAGGCAGCATATTTGTCTTAGACACACCTTATTTTGATACGTGGGATGTGTAATAAGGAATTTTTTTTCATAAAAGTTTGCAAAATCTGACATTTCAGGCTGGGTTATCACAGAAGTACAAAATCGTTAAGGTTGGAAAAGACCTCCAAGACCATCAAGTCCAACCACGTCAATTAAACCATAGCACTAAGTGCCACATGCAGTCGATTCTTGAACACTTCCAGGATGGTGACTTCACCATCTCCAAGGGCAGCCCATTCCAATGCTTAACCACCCTTTCAATGAAAAAATTCTTCCTGATATCCAACCTGAATCTCCCCTTCCATAGCTTGAGGCTGTATCCTCTTGCACTATTTGCCTGAGAGAAGAGACCAACTCCCACTTGGCTACAACCTCCTTTCCAGTAGTTGTAGTGGGTGATAAGGTCTCCCCCGAGCCTCCTTTATTCCAGGCTAAGTAACCCCAGCTCCCTCAGCTGCTCCTTGGATGACTTAGATGACTTACCCTCTAGATCCTTCACCAACTTCATTGCCCTTCTCTGGACTCACTCCAACACCTTAATGTCCTTCTCGCAGTGAGAGGCCCAGAATTGAACACAGGATTCAAGGTGCAGCCTCATCAGTGCCAAGTACAGACAACCACTGCCCTAGTCCTGCTGGCCCCACTATTAATGATCCATTGAACTTCTTGGCCACCTGGACACACTCTGGCTTGTGTTCAGCTGCTGTGATCCAGCACCTTCAGGTCCTTTTCTGCCAGGCAACTTTCCAGCCACTCTTCACCAGGCCTGTACCACTACATGGGGTTGTTGCAACCTAAGTGCAGGACTCAGCACTTTGCCTTACTGAACCTAGTACTGTTGGCCTTAGCACATCAATCCAGCTTGTCCCTCTGCAGAGCCTTCCTACCCTCCAGCAGATCAACACTTCCACCCTTACTGCCATCTGCAAACTTTCTGAGGGTGCACTCAATCCTCTCTTCCAGATCGTTGATAAAGATATTAAACAAAACTGGGCCCAGTACTGAGCCTTGGGGAACCCCACTAGTGACCGGCCACCAACTGGATGTGGCACATTCACCACCACTCTCCAGGCCCAGCCAACCAGCCAGTTTTTACCCCAGCAAAGACTGCACCTGTCCAGCCCATGAGCTGCCAGCTTTTCCAGGAAAATGCTGTGGGAGACAGTACTGAAGGCTTAACTGAATTCCAGGTAGACAACATCCACAGCCTTTCCCTCATCCACTAGGCAGGTCACCTGCTCATAAAAGGAGACCAGGTTGGTCAAGCAAATATAAATCAGGATGGAAATGTCACAACTCATCATAAAACACAATCCCAAGCAACCCAAAAGCACTGGGGGCATTTTTCAGTGTTTGTGACATGGGATATGTCCGACAGCCAGAAATTGCAATGGTTTCCAAAGAAATGCCTGTGTCTAACACCTTGTTACTGGTTTGTCATCTGTGTTATGAATTCTGTCCACATGGCAGGTGTGGTGTCTGTAAAAACTTGAAAACATGTTGGAGAATATGAGTCTTATACAATGTTTTCTGGTGATTAATACTTTAATAGTGTATGGTTTGTAGAATATTTACTGCTTTCTTTTCACAAGTGCTGCCTTTCCAGTTTAGCTTAAAAATGGTGCAATGACCAGGAACTTAGAGGAACAAATGTTTGAACCATTATCACAGAGAGGAAGGTGCTAATTGAAATGCATAAGAGAGTTGTCATACATTCCAATAACTTTGGTGATAAATCTGATTTTAGGTCTTTTAAATTATTACAAATAATGAAAAACACTGACCAGGAATAACACTACTCTGCCAGATGAAAGCTACTCCAAAATTGTTACAGACCTGGAGGGCAGCAAGACTTTAGGCTTGGTTTGGAAATCACACTTTGCATTGATCTGCTGCTGCCCCATCCTTGGGTGCTAATTTTTTTATCCAGCTTTCTGCCTGGGCTGACTTGAAGGCTGCAGTCCCTGACACCTGTGGTTACAGGCTGCAGTACTAAAAATGGGAGAGTTTGTGGAAGTCATTGGCAGAAGTGGACGGTCCCATCTTCTTCTGAAAGCTCAACATATGGATCTGGATTTTCCATCTCTTGGAGCCCAGCCTCTAAGGCTGTTTTTTTAGCTTGCAACCCAGTTTGCAACCTGGTCCTCCCAGATGGAGAAATCACTGCAGAATCTGAGCCCCTTGAGAGTGCCACACACACAGAGGGTCAGTGGGGATGCACAAGACACACTTGACACAAGTGCAGGAATCCAGCAGAATTTCAGTCCCTCACAGTGCATCTGTCTTCCAGTCCTGGCCCTGCATTCCACCCTACATGATCA